AAATTACCTCGTTTGTCTTTCATTTGTTTGTTTATTTTTTCTGATTAATTTTTCTTTCTCTCATTTCACATTTCCTTTACGTGTGTTTTCTTTGTTCCAACTTCCAGAAGTCATAGTTCTCTTCTTTAGTCCGTTCCTTTCCCTATTTTCACTACTACTACTACTACTAAATCACTGTCTGTTTTCCATCTTTCTCTCTCTATCTATATATATATATCTGTAACACATGGTTCTGTGTACTGTAGTCTTTGTATAAAGCTGCGTGATACACACACACACACTCATACACACACACACTGTCACGTATACTCACAGATGTATGAACACACACACGCGTACACTCACAGATGTATACACATACAGACGCGTAAACGCGCAGAGAAAGACTAAAAATGAAACAAAAGTATGTAAATAAATAAATTCGTGCATCTCAGGGCACATGCTGTAGAGCGGTGATTAACACAAACCAAAATAAATTGCTAGCGTGATTGTCAAAGAGTCGTTGTGCCCCTCTGTCAGACTATTTGCGTGCCTGCCGTAGAACAACCATTAGCAAGTTCTAGTCTCACAGACCATCTCTAGTAAGTTCTCGCTCAATGCTTGATTATTGTGACCTTGTGGCAAACTAAGCTAGGTTTCAGCCCGGGCAAACGCAAACCTATTCTATAAAAATCACGTGCTCAAAGTAAACATACAACGCATATGTGCAAAAATGTGTGTAACTTGCTTACATACAAGGACGACAACATCGGAGATATACACGTTTGTATAGCGCCAAATATAAACAATAACATTAATTATATATGCGCTCAATAGCAATGTGCAAAGGGGTGCTTGCGCGCGACCACCTCCCCAAACACACGCACATATGTCTCCGACGCCAAAAAAAAAAAAAAAAAAAAAAAAAAGATGGCGTCGACAGAAAAAGTAACTCTATGCTTTCTCGGCTCAATTTTCTTCCTCTCTTTTTTCTTTAATTTGGTGAGTCACAATTTCGCAGTTTCAAATGAAGAAGAAGGAAGAATAACACACGCCAATGCGTCAAGTTAACCGGAAAAATCCATCTTCTTGAACACGTACGCAGACGCGCGTATGTGCTTACAAACTGTTTAAAATCTTTGTGCATTTTACTTTCAGATTGTCGTAATATTTTCTATAAGATGGAAATATCATATAAAATATAACTTTTAAAACAACAATCAGTTTCCGTAAATGAAAAGTTTATAATGATTTTTTAAATTTACTGAAAAGATTCTGTATTTGTTCATGAGGTCTGCTCGTTGACCGAAGTCCTTTATTATTTTTTTATTTTTTTGTTAAATAAAACTTGTCCCCACAGGAAAGAGTTGTTTAAATTGTTCTCCGAGGAAAAAATAATATAGATTTATTATGGACTACAGACATCTTAGTTAATTTAGTTCTGGCCTTGGACGCGGAAGAACTGTGACACATTTATGGACAAATTTGCTAACCATCGCACTATCCCTACTATCTATCTATCTGTCTGTCTGTCTATCTATCTATCTATCTATCTATCTATCTATCTATCTATCTATCTATCTATCTATGTATGTATGTGTATGTGTGTCTATTAGCTTAATAAATGAGAATGTATTATTGTTTATTGTCAGATACTAGTTACTTGTGGAAAAATGTAAAGTAAAATAATTCTTCACACGGAGACATTTACAATGTCAAAAAAAATTTTATCCTCTATCGAGGAGACATTTCTTTTAGACATTTGAAAGTTGCAAGCAACAAAAACGCTTCACTGAAACCTTTGTTTACAAACATTCAGAGATATGAAATTATTCTGTTTGTAGGTGGGGAATCTATATTTAATTTTACGTTTTAATCGATAGCAAATATAAGTTTTGCTAAATGCGTTCAAATAAAAATATCACTTGTTGAACTCAAAAAAAAATGTGTGTTAAAGCCTGTTTCTAAAATGTCGACGCAAACAAACGCATCCATTCTATTTTGCAACTGTATATTTACTAATTATCACATAAGGTCACAACACTGGACCATCCGTTAGAATTGAATTCACCTATGATCCTACCATTACTTGACAACAGACGTCTTAAGACCAAAAAGATTAACTGGCTTACTCAAAGTGACCTACGCTCAGTGGTATTTACCCACTGTATCTATCTATTACTGAACATCTTTTTCTTTTTACACTATCTACATTGTTCGAACTGTTGTCTTCATCTTTATTGTCTTATTCACGACGTTTCGGCCGTTTTACGCTTCGGTCCACCACAAAGACACATGGCCCAGTGGATAAAAGTGTTGGTTGAAGTAATTCAGTGACATGACCTAAAGAGTTGTGAGTTCAATACCTGGTGAACAAAATTTGGAGAAGTGAGAAATAACTGAAACTGTCTCAGTTTTAGTTATTTCTCTTTAACTCACATTATCCGTGGAACTAAATAAAGGGTTCGTTTCGAAATTCCAGCGTATATCCTTTGAAGAAGTCTGGAATGTAAAACGACCGAAGTGTCGTGAGTATGACAATAAAGATTAGGACAACAACACGAGCAATGCAAACAGTGTTGTAAATAGTTAAAATACATCACCCCAGAAAGACAGATTTTTTTTGTTCCTATGTCCGTATCTTCTGTTACGCTAAAGCAAAGATAAAAAAATATTAGCTCTTAAATCAACCCAGGTTCGAACGTCCGCTCCGGAGTTAAGAGACATATCTACTACGCAGCATTATAAAATGAATAAGCAAATACTAACATAGGGTGCATACATATTACAATAATTACACTGTTCTCAGTCAGAAGGCCAAGGAAGAATGCACAGATAATTTATCCTTGCCAGAAGTGCCGATCAGTACATAAATAATCACGCAATTTTTATGGGTTCTATGCTTTTCCATCAAAGGGAGAGGCAATTTCGAGTACAAACGGAGAGCACATTTTCTTTATTAAATTTTTTCGAGTTCGCAGACCGTTAGATGTAGTACACACAGTTTGAAATAAACAAGGGTATCCACTAAAAATAATATTTGAATATATATATATATATATATATATATATATATGAAGTTTGTCTTAGTCTAATACAGACCCACAATAGTGGAGTACACAATGAATCTTGAACTCATCAACGATGATCAGCGAGAGTACCTTGTTAACCATCACTTTGAAGCAATATGAAGAGGAGGAAGGGAATAATACAATGTTGTCTGCAGTCTGTGAACTTGCTCTCATGTGACAATCTGTACTCTTTGTCAAAGCACAAATAATCAGTTATTTTCTAAAGATCAATGTACACGAACAAATATTCAAGAGTTTTGTGTATACGTGCGTGTGTGCGCGCTTTTATGCGTTTTAGTGAACGTGGAGAATGCCGATCCTCCCTATATCTGTGTGTACACCGAGGAATGCCTAATCGGCTTGCTCTTACCAATAAATGTGCGTGTGGGTATTTTCTATGTTTGTGTAATCTTAATTTAATTACACAAGATCCCTTACACGTATTAAACGTGTTTCAGGAAATGTAGATACTCCTTTTGTGTGTGTTCATTTATGCAAAGAAGTGAAATTCTTACAGAATTAAACACAGTTTTACACTCATTTAATACGTCTTTAAGGGAATCTTGTATGCACACATGATCAAACTATATACTAATAGCCACACTGTGTGTACAATACACCATTCATCGAAATTAATGTTAAAATTGAAGTAGTTATAGTTTTCTCAATTAATTCCACAAACATTGACACATTTCCCAAATAATAATTTCGATGGGGGAGAATACTTCAGTGGAAGAAAGCTAATCTGATCATTTATAAAATTTCAAGGCAAGCAATTCTTAATGGTTACTATGAATTTTCTTCCAGTTTGGAAGGGCGGTCTTGATGTTTATCAAGAGTCAAGAAACTGAAGAGGACAACGGTTGTTAGGTTCGGTTGCTATGGAGAAAGTCTGTATTTATTGAAAATCAGCATTCAAAATAATGAATTTTATTTGGGTTCGAACACTGATACTTTTAGAAAATAGGCAACTATATTAGTAGCTACGCGTCAGATCTCAAGTTTAATTTTATAATGTTTCTGATAAAGTAGTTTATTGGAATTCAGCAAATATATTAATTAGAAAGAGATGTTTCCATACGAAGCACGGTTAGGGTTATTATTCCGGCAACAAGCTTCACTCTAACTAAATTGACCCATGTGACTACTTGAAATCATTTTATTTAATGTCTGCCGTTTTTATGCTAAAAATTAAAAAAAAAAAAGTAACACGTTCACGTAATTTATAAACTTGGTTTATCTGCACGCACAGATGTTTGTGCCTGAATAATACAGATACCTCTCCACTCCCTGTATAGATAACGAATGCAGAGTGAACATTAATAAGGACCAACCCCTCTTCATGGCTCTGATTTTCAAACTTTTTAAAAAAAGTCTAATTCGACTATTTGGGAAAGACGGGCAATGAAAGCATCTACCCGTCAGCGAAACTCTACCATCCTCTTCGAAATATTCTGTAACGACGAGTGTATTGAGGCGGGTTTGGGCGGTCATGTCTAGGAAGGAGGGAGTGGTGTTACTTGTACTCGTGGGGCTGTTGTGTGTCTGGTTATATTACTTATGATGACGACGATGATGAGAAGTCTACGAGACAAGAGTACAAATGATGATGAGGATGACGTCGAGTGCGAATTACCCGCATCCATCCCCTATTTACTTAACCGTTTCTTGTTCGTCTTTTTTCATTCACTCTTTCCTTCATTGTTGATATTTTCTTATTTTTTTCACTTTTTCTTTCTCGCATTCTATCTACATTTCCTATTTCCTATCTACACGTTTTTTACACTTCTCTCTTTTACGCGGAGGAAAAGAGAGACAGGAACATAAAAGCGGAAGACTTGAGTGTTCCGCTTTTATGTTCCTGTCCCTCTTTTCCTCCGCACTCATTTTTCTTTCTTGCTTTCTTTTTATTCATTATCTCCTTTCTTTTTCTTCTCTTTCCCATCTTTAATGTTATTCTCTTCTGTCGTCATCAACAGCATCCATCCCCCCCCCGCTACCCGAGCATTGTTTGTGAGTGCGTTTCCGCCTTATGCACCTTCCCTTTTCGCTTCGTCGTTGGCTTATGAGCAGGTATGCGTGTCTGTCTCCCTTGTTAAGTTCTTCCCTTTTCCAAAAATAAGTTTCTGCCTTGTTTGGAAAATGGGGCTACTACTACTACTACTACTACTACTACACACACACACACACATGCACTCTTTCTCGTCCCTACACTCTTATGTACACCAATTTCCCCCCATACCCTTATAGCGACTTTTCTTTTTTAAATTTCGAGAGTGGGTGGGTGGCAATGTATTGGTAGCCTCATGCTGATTGGCCGTGGGCTGTCAAATTTAGATGAGTGTGGTGATGATGATACAAGAGAGGAGAAAGAAGAAGAAGAAGAAAAAAAAAAGACTGAAAGAGAAGAAGGAAGAAACTGAAAAGAAGGAAGATGCTTGAAAAAAGAAGACACGGGAGAAGAAGAGAATGAAACAGAGACAAAAAAGAAAACAGCGTGAAAAGGATTTATCAGAAGAATGAGAATGGGAAAAAGAAGAAAAACCAAGATGTTTAAGAAAAGGGAGAAGGAAAAAGAAAATAGAGAGAAAATGGAAGAAGAAAAAGGAAAATATGAAAGGATATAAAAAGGAAAAAAAGAAAAAAGGAGAAAGAAAAAGAAAAGCAGAAAAAGAAAATGAAAAAGGAAAGTAAAAAGAATGTAAAGAGAAATGGGAAAGAAGAAAAAGAAAAGAGAAAGGGAAGACGAAAAAGATAAAAGCGAGAGGCGATAAGGAAAGAAAATATGAAACATGATGAGAAAAAGAAAAAATGGAAAAGATTAAAGAGAAAAAGGAAAAGCTAAAAGAAAGAAAAATGGCATGGAATGAGGAAGTGTGCGTGATGGTATGATGCAAGCGTAAATGGTGGCGGACTGGTAGGTGTGCGGGAGGGTTTCAGTATTTTCTCGGTGGCGTGTTGGTGGCGGTGCGAAGCACAGAAGGCAAGGTTGGGGAGTGTTGTATTTTCATTCTGAAAAAACTGATGGAAGAATTTAATGAACTTTTGATTTGACTAATGGCGCTGAAAGAAACGCCACCCCGCCTTCATAACGCTACTCACTCACCGATGAATTTCTCACAGACATTGTAAAAACATTGCCAGTGGCCGACATGGTATTAGAATCTTTTGTCCGAGGTTTCTATACCTTTTTGGTTTGGGATCGAGAAAAGAGCTTTTTCCTTCTATCTGGGACCTTATTCTCCCCCCACCCCTTGCTCTTTCTTTCAGTCTTTCATTTTCTCTCAAATCTTTTTTTTAATTATCTATATCTTTCTCTACTCCCAGAATTTCTTCTTCTTCTTCTTCTTCTTCTTCTTCTTCTTCTTCTTCTTCTTCTTCTTCTTCTTCTTCTTTAAAGTAAGTTTCTTTCTATAAAGTAAGTTTCATTATCTCGAATCTCGCTTTTCTTTTTTCATCTCACTTTATTTACTCTTTCTTTCTTTCTTTCTTTCTTTCTTTCTTTCTTTCTTTCTTTCTTTCTTTCTTTCTTTCTTTTTCTAAGTAAGCAAGTGCCTTTGTTCTCTGATGGCATCTTCTCTTAAGGAATATCATTATAATTATTTTTATCCATCTTATTCGGAGCATTGATGCTGCTGCTGGAATGTGCTTTAAGTGTGTCACTGGAGAATAAATGTTATAGAATGACATTCCTTGAATGGAGACACGAACCGAGGCTTCGCTTCGCGTTGGAACAGAACAAAGAGAAAGAAAAACGTGGCGGGAGGCGAAGGGAATTGATGGTAGACATGGAAAGTGAAAGTGAAAGTAGAAAACGAGAAAGAAAGCATTTTTTTTGTAATATTTGCTTCTCTTTTGAGTTGATTCGTACTACAATGGAATGTTACTACTTTTTATATGAACAATATTGATAAGAATTCTAATTATTTGGCCTTTATGTGATTACTACCAGGTGTTTACGTTATTGTGTTTATGATCTCTTTATAAGTTTATAAGTTACGTCTAACGTTATAAGAAGAGGTGTCATTATTTCATTAATTATTCTAATACCTCTATGTTATTTCATGAAATTATCAAAATAATTACTTTCCTTTATAACACACTCACATATTATAACATATAGTTTCATAATTTATTTATTACCGCGTGCAAGTGCTACTGATATTATCACGATAATATTAGTTTATATTAAATTATGTATATACATATATGTGAGATTTTTCCTAAATAAAAATATTTAAGAAAGAAATCATTTTGAAATTTTCAGCTGTTCAGACCATTCCAGACTTTGTAGCGCGAATAGCAGATTCTTTCCAATTTAAAGATTTTTCTAAAAATAATTTTTGAGGAACACAAATTATTTGGAAAATAAAGTATATTCATAATGACCGCCAAAATACATCATTGAAAAATTTGGTAAAGTTTTTTCTTTATCTCTTTTATGGTAAATATATCTTAAAAATTATAATCTTGATTAGGTAAGAAAATACTTTTAACATGTATTGTGCATCTGCCGAGGATAGTGCAATGAAAAGAAAAGAAATCTCAAGTTGTATAACACCAAATGTAAAGAAAAGATTTATCGGTTGAAGTAGATCACCAAATGTGTGCTAGAAAGTAGGTCTTTGTGTTTATAAGAAAAAAGAAATGTTAATTCACTGATGTTACTAAGTAAGCAAAGAAAACTTAAACAATAGTAGAAACCATTAAAGAAGTTTGGAGTACTTACACCAAGGAAATTGTTACAATAAGGAAATTAGGGAAGACTAAACCGGATTTAAATTGAAAGAACATAAAAAAGCCCAATAAAAGACACAACTTGAAGAATTGAGATCAAGTTGCTGGGAGAATGTTATTTGACTACCGTTAATAATTTTGAAGAATTTTGACGCGAAAGGATAAAAAAAGTTATTCTTCAGATCTCTTTATGGCTCGTGGAGCATGAGGTATCCACAAACGTGTGTTTGCTGCTTTTTTTCATTTCATTTCTTTTTCAGAAAATCAGGCTGTTAGTCTAACATTCGATCCACCCATGGAAAATAGAGGAAAGCAGTTTAAACAATTATAAAACTCTGTTTAATCCAGGTTTGAATTAAACTGTAAATATGAGTGTAATTATACTACTACAGATGGGGTACATAATTACTGAATGCTTCCAATTGACTCATAAAAAAGTTTACATAACCAAGCACAACTGGGTGGAAACGGGGGCTTACCGAGAATTGTGCAAACAAATTGGATTCGATTAGGAATAAAAATGATGTTTTCACAAGCTACGTGCACCATTTTCTAGAAGAGAAAAAGTTAGATTCTTTGCGATATTAGAATTTAGATGAAGAGAACCAAGTGAAAGAAAAAGGAAATCTAACATTGGATAAGCCAGATTGAAACTGAAGAAAGATATTGGTATATATCAAAACAGCCGTAAGTTGTAAAAGCTATGAACTATGTAGAGTGGTTTTCATAATCATTGAAGCAATCAGTACATATTGGAAGAAAACGATCAAAAGAGAAATTGGGATTATTTCGACGAAAGTAGTTTTGAAGACATTGAGAATATTGAAATGATCGTTAGTATTAAAAGACTTGTTGTCACTTGGTTCCACGGGATGACAAACAGTTAAATATGACTGGAAGATAGAAATAATAATAATAATAATAATAATAAATCAAAGGAGTAAATCTACAGCACAACCACTACTTAAAGGCAGAAGATTAAAAAGAAGAGACTCTTACTCGAACAATAACGATCACTATTTGATTGTGAAGATGATGTACAAGTAATATTTGGTTATGTAAATTATGTGCGGAGTATTTTTGTCCTGTGAAAGTAATAAATGGCGAAATTCTACAATGAAACTATTCCCAGAACCTATTAGAAGAAGAGAATTATTGGCAGTGCTAAAGATGACCAGGTAACATTTGGAAATAAAAATCAACTGTTTCTCTAAAAAGAGTGTTATGGTCTGTTTTGGATTTGATGGAAGAGATCGTAACGCCAACTGGCCTGGTGGAGAGTGTTATGTATGAGAGGAAGTGAATGTTCTATTTAATATTGGCTTTTCTACTCAGTCAAGCCGTTCCAATATTCCTACGTTATTAACTTCTCCCTGTTTGCAACACAAAACACTTCGCGTCAAAAGACAAGATTTAAGAAAACAGGAACGTTGTTTGCAGAAAGTATGATATTACCAGAATTTCTCCGCTGTCTACAGTTAAAATAAACCAGATTTATTGCATTTTTTAAAGCGCAAATGAAGTGGTGATTGTGGGTGTGAAAGGCACTTTTCCTTTCGAAAAATATTTAAAAAATAAATTGCAACAACGTGAAACTGTTTATTAATAATGTATGCACTTAGATGTTGAGCTGTAGGAGAAAAATATTTCCATTATTCCAGAAGATATTAAATTTTTAAATTAGGTAAACAAATGCTCTGTCTCGTTGAAAACAGCAAAATATTTACTCTGAAAATGAGTATAAAATTCAAGAGAAAAGAGCAACAGTTCCCGCTTCTTACTATATTTTCTTGTTTTATGAAAATGAAAATATAAATCTATTAGATTATGACCAACATTATAAATTTGATGTTTTCATTATTTTCTGTGAAATTAGTTTTATTTTCTTATTAATATTTTCAGTTTTCCACTGGCACATTAAGGATTTACAATCATTGAACTATTTGAGAGAAGCTTTAATTTCAATGTCACAAACATTTAATTAACGTCTTAGTAAAAAAGCCATCTTACAACTGACATCATGGAATGATAATCTATATCATGGTTAAATATCGTTTTAAAAAATCAATTATAGTGAAAAATAAAATGGTTTATTTCTCAATAAAAAATCTGTTTTTCACGAAGTCGAGACTTCGAAACATTGCATCATTGATAACAATTGTGTTTGGGTTGAAGATCAGCTCTAAGAATGGGCGGCCATATTGAGAAAGAATTTGGAAATTTGCGCAAATAAATATATTTAATTTTGAATAGTTGTAAATAAAAATTATGTTCCCAAATTAATGGCGCTAGAAAATTAATACCCAATTTTAGACCCTTATTAGCTAAAAACTTTGTCTATTCTTTTCGTTCCGTAAACTTTTATTAAATTAGCTGAAACATATACAGTAATATTTTTCCGAACTTCATATGCATAATCTTCAAGATCTAGTTTTTTTGCTCTTACACGTCTTTTCAATTCATCCTATATATTTTGAATCGGATTCAGGTTGTAAATGTAAAGGCCAAAGTAAAACTTATATTTTTATCCTGAAGCTATTTTTGGAGTAATTTATATGTATACTGTGGATCATTGTCTTAGTTAAAGCTCAAACCACTCTTTCGTTTTAAATTACTAAGAGACATTTTCAAGCTGACAAAGAATATTTGACCATAATGATTTTTTTATGATTGTACCATGCACTCTGAAAAGATTTAATTTTTTTGTCAGATAGAAGGCGTTCTTTGCATTGAAAGCCTCAAATAAACGTCTCAAATCAGATATTATTATGTTAAAAAAGTTCTAGTTTAGACTAACCATAGTATTTTTTACCAAAATGAGATCAGGTTGTCAATGCAACTGTTACATGAGATTTCAAATGAATAGCTTTCATGAAAAAAATCGGTATACAGGAAGGGCTCATGTATTTCTTATTAATTTAACTCCAGTAGCTTCCAAATTATTCCCGAGATTGTCCGAGACAATTTCTGCGTCCACATCACCCCTTGCATCTGGTCACCTCACTCCCCAGACTGCAAACCTCTTGCTTATTATGTGTGGAGCGCATTTGAGCGAGAGACAAACAAAACTCCAGAGTAACAGCAAAGGATTATGGCAGCGTTTACCAACTTAAGCAAGGGGACCGCCCAGAAGAGTTTCAGGAGATTCCGAAGTCTTCTGGATGGCATGGCTGAAAACAATGGCATTTTATTGAATAAATTTACTCATTAGTATTTCAAGACATTTTTGTGTAATGTCAGTGTTATATATATATATATATATATATATATATATGTGTGTGTGTGTGTGTGTGTACGTGTGTGTGGGGGGTGTAGTTGGGCAGCAAGAATTCATCCAAACAAGTTTTATTAAATCACACTGACAAGGTTTGTCTATTCAAATTTTTCCGAATATGGTACTATACATCGAGATTGAAGTTATGAATAAATTGTCCAATGTTCGTATTTTTTCTGTTATATTCAATTACTATAACAATCATTACGCAGAACTGGATGTTATCAGTAAAATCTATTTGACTATCATATCTATAGATGATCTCTGTATGAGAGAACATCGGAATTTAATTGCGTTAGTGTCCTTGTTCGGTGCAGAATATATCTGAATATAACAGAAAAAAGAAAATATGAACGTTGGATAATGTATTCATGACTTCAATCTTGATATACAACACCTTACATGGAATTTGGGAAGATAATAAATAGTTGAATAGACAGACCTTGTCGGGAATTTAATGAAACTTTATTTTATTGTTTGTCATTACATAATATATATATATATATATATATTATGTAATGACAAACATATATATATATATATATTATGTAATGACAAACAATACAAATAAAGTTTCATTAAATTCCGCCGACAAGGTCTGTCTATTCAACTATATATATATATATATATATATATATATATATATATCCCCTTGCTAGCGCGACTCGGAGTTTGATGCACAACGCAAGCTTCAGGTGCTGACTCTTACATCGAAGACAGTTTTACTAACAGCAGCACGATATATATATATATATATATATATATATATATATATATATATATATATATATATATATATATTATTTGATAATTCGTATGGATAATTCCAAAGAGGATTTAAATCCAAAAAGAACTCAATGTAAGAACAACGCTAATTTTGTATAATGCTAACATGTATGAATACATGCAGTCACAGTATTCATGTGTAATCCTTCATGTGGTTTCCTTCCCTACAGCATCAATAATTCTAATTTACGGATTATTTTTACCTGTATTATCTATTATATACATTTTCCATTATTTATATATATATAATTATTTTATATAAAATTATACTTATGTATGTATGAGTATGCATATGTACTAAACTTAAAATGATCTTTTTCATATCAATTCATTTTATTTTTTTTTAAATGCTTATATATATATATATATATATATATATTTTCTTGAAGAAAGTTTTAAAAAAATTATATAATTCTTTTAGAAAATTCTTCGTTTTTAGATTTTTTTACTACTTTATTTTCATAATCACCTATTTTTATAATTACAACGGGTATGACGTAAAATAACTACATGCATTGAACAGACAACTTATGAATATATTCAGTTTTGTAAATTTTAAACCCTATTGCTTATCAGTTCCTAATCACCTCTCTTCTTTTTCTCTTTCATTTTCTTCTTTTTTATTTCTCCTTCCTTTCTCTTTCCTTTGTTCCTTTTTTAATATATTTTCTTTTTATTCTCTCTACTTCTTACATCCGGTGAAAAGAGGTCAACCTGTCAACTTTCTTTTCTTCTCCACAGCCGTTTCCCTTCCTATATTACTCTCTGTCCCTATATATATATATATATATATATATATATATATATATATATGCCTATAGACATAGATAGTTCCTTCTCTTTCTCCCCTTTCTCTTTCTCTCCTTTTCACTTCTTCCATATTAAAACTTTATTTTAAAACCCATCTTATGCTTGAAAATATCTTTTTTCGTTTGTGCCTGGATAGATTTAAAATTCATTTACTACTGTGAAGCTGTTTGGTCTGATGAGACGAGATCGTTTATTCGATCTTGCGAAATAAACTATTACTATGGGTCTCTAAAGTCTCCGCTTTCACCATCATTATATATATATATATATATATATATATATATATATATATGTGCGAGCGTTTTCGTATATATCTTTGTGAACGCAGCTGCATATATTATAAACTAAAGTTTGCATTGATAGCTTAACCCAAATCCAGAATCGAACTCGCTGCCATGAACTGACTGGAGGAATCCACGATGATCTCTCCATAATTTCCTGTTACCTGCTATGCATCTGCGATTAGATTCACTTTATCCCTGCAAAATGTTTTGCGCGTCTATTCCAGATTCAAATCTTTTCTTATGATGTGTCTAACTGCCACTTTTTGATAAATAAATATAAATAAGTACAAATAAATGAGTAAATCAAACCAGCTTGGATTAAAATAAAACCCGGTTCAGGATTAGAATTTCTCTTACTCTTCCTCCTTTCCGTCTCTTCAACGTTTGTATTTTTCGTTTTGTCTATTTCTGGAAGTGATTCCATCCTCGAGGAATTACTTTTATTGATTGTCCACAAGTCGACTTCTTTCTGACGCACGTTTACTGCAACGAGGGACAGGAATGCACTTTGGTACATTTCACTTGGCAGGGCAGCTGATGCCGAGTGTGCAATGAAGCCAAGTGGAAAACTATTTTCAGTCGTGAGAATTTTAAGTTTCAACGCATTTCTTTCTTTTTTGTCATGACTTAATCTGTTAACTGCTTTGAGTTTCTTGATAAAAAAAGAAAAAATCTCTTCGAATCTTCCCAAACCTGGTCGTCATCATTTCTAGTTGCTTCAAGCTCAGCATGTCACAGTCGCAGTCGATGGTATTTTCACAGCAACGACGTTTATAACGATGACCATGATTTCTAAAGATTTTTCTTTTAAAAGAATTCTTATTCTAACAAATTTGCAAAGCAGACGCGTGTAAAGATTTAATTTAGATTTAAAATCACAGACTCTCCTTATATGTTTGAATTATAACGATCATGGCACTAGTATTATTAGCCCAACTCGCTGAAAAATCTTAGTCTACGTTAGGCAATAGCGCAATGTCTTGTAAACTTCTTTCTCTTGCCATTACGAATCTAGTGAGTTCGATTTTCACCGGATGTCACACTTATCTGGTCTTATGCCAGACTTATTCGAATTTAGTAAACTGAAGTGCCAAAAATTACAGCACTGGATATTTTCAACCCGTATCAGTGGTAGAAATAGACTCAGCTGGATGTGATTGTAAATGTGCAGTCTAGTTGTGGTAGCCATGGGGATGAGACAAAATTTATCATCATTTGATCATGTAATAATCGCCCTATATCATACATACATGAAATTAGCGGCACGTGAAAATTGCAAGTGTCTACAGGTGATGCACAAACGAGACTACCGGCGACTGACAATGATGGTAACTATGCAACAAAAGAGAATATTGCATTAAATCACATCCCAATTCAACGCTAGTATTATTGATAAACCCATTACTGTCTTACGTTTTCGTAGTTGTCGACTGACTACCATTATTAACACCACAGATTCAGATACTGCACCTAATATGAATATCATCTTTGAAGACTGGTGCCATATCTCCTGGTCATCACATTTCTACTTCTTTTAGGCAGACGCTACTGGTCCAACCCATCAGATACATACTATGCAAGTGATGGCTATGTAATCGTGTGGGTGTGTTGTAGTTTGCAAGGACCAATCGTAAAACTAGAATCTGTCATCAAGATATATAAGTACATCCACATGTGCAGAAGTGTTAAGTCCTGGGTCAAATACGAAATCGATAACGATTTTTGCTGTAATAGTCAAAGAGGTAGTGTAACTGTGCCTGTTTAAGGATGTACACAGAATTTGACATAATTTTATCGCGGAATGATGGTTGAGAACAAAAAGATGGAGCAGTATATTTCCGGTGGTAATTGTTTCGGCGAAATAATGCGACGTCACGTACACTTGAACACTTCTTAATCACATAAGATTAAATACTGAAATTTTGATTTAATAACAGTCACTCTATTCAACATCATAAGATTTTCTTCTGGTAAAAAGCATCACAAAAAGATATGTCGGATACATTCTGGAAGAAAACAGTGAGAGAGCTGAATCTTAGATAGGCAAGGAGATAAATGTACATGCTAGTGAGAATCTCCTTTTTTTTCTACTCTTAATTCCAGATTACCAGATTTTCATCATCAGTCTCTCTCTTTCACCCCACATCTCTCTCTCTCTCTCTCTCTCTCTCTCTCTCTCTCTATATATATATATATATATATATATAGTTTGTGTCTGTATATGTGTGTGTGTATAAGATGCAAACATTGTAGATATCCTTAGTAGAAATTTAGTATTAATATGAATGATGCATTCTTTTGTTGGAAAGAAACAATGTAAACATACTTTGATCTCAAAAGAGACTAATTAATGTTAGGTGAGTTATCTCCCCTTTCTTTTGCATCCCGCACTATGGTAATTAATCAATCATAAATATTAGTATCCTCTTGATTTAGACAATGGCTGGATAACCAGCAAAGAGCACTCAGTCTGAAAATTATGGACAATTTCTGAATCTGCTTCCCAATGAGCGCCGTGCAAATATTAGAAAATACGAACAATTATTAAAATTCCTTGTCTATTTAAACAAAACGTTATACATACATACATACATACATACATTCATAAAGTGTGCACCAGGTATGTGAGAACAGATTTTTAGTGAGATATAAATATAAGACGATCTAACGTCTTATATAAAATTTTAAATATTATAATTTCTCTTTGGATGACATTAACAAGGTACCTTCCGATTTAACACAGAAAATGGAAAATTACACCCTGTTCATGCTGTAGTGACGCGGAGATAACAGGGGCCAGGTTGAACTGGAGTAACAACAAGTAGATTTGGTGAACTCCATTGAGGTGTCCATGGAGATGAATAACAAATTAACTTTCTTCTGTAATGATCCTGGGGGTCGTGAGCATTATGAGTCGTGTTTGGTGCGCCGTCAAGAAGGAGACCAACCAGCGGATCCAAGATACCGATGACTTGTTGAAGGCTGCCATCAAGTTTGATGGGTAACATGAACGTAAAACACGTGATTTAAACAGGCAGTTGCTTCCGAGACCGTCTTCGAGGATGATTGGAAATTTTATTCAATAAGCTTTTTGTGTACAATTTCTATCAGAAATCATTTAAGCAAATAAAATGTTTTCTTTTGTCTTTTCAGAAAATGTATTTCAGATACGATACTACAGTATAATGACATAACGATGGCATTGTTCAATCTAAATGTGTTCGTCAATATATTTTACACTTTCTTATATATACTAATCCATATATACATAAATAGATGTAAATATTATGTTTGTGTTTTGTGTGTGTGTGTATTTTGTGTGTTTGTGTGTGTATAAAAATACATAACAATGTATATTTGTATGGGCATGTTTGCATATCTGTGTATCTGTCTATCTATTTATGTACTGACATATCTATGTATGTGTGTATACACACAAGAGTGTGTGTTTCGCCTGTATATGTGGGGGCAATTATCTGGTCCTAAACGAAAGCCTCGTTAGGCGCAGAAAGCAATTAAATACTGCGCTGCAACGGAGAGCGAACAATTATCGGAATGCTGTATGCACCCCCTTTCTTTCTTTCTTTCTTTCTTTCTTTCTTTCTTTCTTTCTTTCTTTCTTTCTTTTCTCGCTCTGTATAGCCTCTCCACTTGCCGATGCGGCATGACAAACGCTAGACATGTCCCGATTGCAACAAGACCAGCTGCTAATTAGAACGCTGCAGGGAGGGAGAGGCAGTGGGAGAAAGAACAAGAGATAGGAAGATGTTTTTGTGTGTGTGTGTGTGTGTGTGAGAGAGAGAGAGAGAAAGATAAAGAGTAAGAGAGACAGAGAGAGAGAGAGAGAGAGATAGATAGAGATAGAGAGAGACAGAGACAACGAATCATGTAATGGGAAGCTGAAAAGGAGGGACAGTGAGAGAAGAGAAAATGGAAAATAAAAGAGAGTGGAAAAGAAAAAGTAGAGAAGAAACGCACACTGAAAAAGAAAATGTGCGATAACACATGAAGTAGGTGTACTTGAAGATATTACAAAGGATATTTGAGTCTGACACAAGGCTATAAAACTGAAGCAACATGTAAGGATTTAACTCACTACTCTAGTAATGGTCTCCGGCAGGCCACTAACATTTTTTAGAAATGAAACGATATCATTGCAAAGACTAATAAGAATTCATACGTATAAATATTGTTTATCCATTTCGGGAATTAATATAGGCGTGAGGGTGTGTGGCTTTGGGGCTTTCTTCGAATGTGAATGCGAGAGACTCTCTGTCTTTTCTCTCAAGGGCTGGGTGCACGTATAACTTCCGGTTATCCGATTGTCTCACGTGTGCACATGTTTATATGTTGGAATATAAAAATATGTCAGCCACTGATATATTTTGAGACCCGATTTTGTACCTGGTAACTATAAGGTTACTTTGCATTTCAACCCTTTTATACACGTAGTACTTCTGACCAGTACCTAGAAAGGCTCGATGTTGCTTAACTTTTGTGATCCGACAAGAACTGGTCTTTCAACGTGATATGGCCTTAAGACCCACATGCTAAACTAAGTTCAGCTTATCTGACATAAAGTTACATTATAATTCTATATTATAAATAGTCTAGAACACTGGCTTTGATGCCGTGTGTCGAGAAATGTTTAATAAGATAGTTTTTCAGAAGTATTCGTTAGTGAAATAAGTTTGATCCTCATTATTCTAATCTTGTGTCAGACTAAGATTTAATCAGGAACATTACTATTTTAACTATTCCTCTATTGTAGTCGCACAAGAAAGATGATTGCATAAGAGAGTAAAGAATTTACGTGTGTGTCTGTCTGTGTGTGAGAGGCGAAAGTTAAAAGAAAAAAAATAAAAGAAGGAGAATTTCATTTATTCTTAAATTTCAGTTTAAGTAAAAGGAGATAAACAGACGAAGTGCATGTAAGAAATTTTGTTTGTACTTCGACCTACTTGAAAGCTAACCGCAAGCAATCAGACAAATATCTAAATGAAGAACCCCTAGCATTTCACATTATCTACCTTTTCAAATGCCGCCCTTACTGACCTGTATGAGTGTCTATAGGGTTCAGGATCAATCATAATTAGTTCTAATTAATTTTATGCAATACTCAATCAACCAGATTGCTTCGTCGTGTCACTATTTCCAGTCAATAACAAACTCTAGTATGACTCGACCAATATCACAATTTTCACCCTTCTTCTTTTTAGTCACAGAGAAAAAATACGTTTGGAGAAATTAATTTCTTTAATTTTATATTGACTTTGTTTAACCAATTTGCTATGCCATGTTTGGGAATTTTGAGGCCTTTTCTTTATCTATAAAAGGATTTAAATTATCAATTTAAAAATCACATTTTCTTTAACGTCTAAGACGTTAAAGAAAATGTGATTTTTAAATTGATAATTTAATAATCTTTAAAATATTCATTGTCCGAAATACTGGCATTAAAATTAACATTATTCTAAAAAGTATAGATTAGGATATTATTTAAAAAATCTTTTAAAACATTGTATCACTTTTGAATTTTTAAGCAAGTATTGAAATATGTTCATAGAACTAGTCATATACCCATCTATAGAATTATGCTTTCAATTTTACATATTCCCTTGTAATCTTTTATATTCTTTAAAGTGCATAGGTGCCGTGCACTTATATTATGATAAAGAATGTAAAATTTTAAATTCCAATTATCTAAAACAAAAATCTTCAATTCTTTATCATTTTAACCAACTCGACATAGGCGAAATTGGTTTTCAATGTCATTTTAGAATTGAAATTTAAAGACATACGAATAAATCCTTTGATTCTAGAAATTTGAGATAATCACAAAGAGAGCTTTCAAAGTAATAAAGCAAATTTTACTTTTATAGAAAATAAAACAATGTACACTTTTTTTTTGTTTTTCCCAGATTATTATTTGCGAAAATATTACTGAATTTGTAATAGTCTCAATTTTCATTTGTATACACATGTTGATAGCACAAAAATATACAAAATGAGAAAGCATTTGAAAAATATTTCTGTGGCGAATATTATAAAAAGAAATAGCAGGGAAATTCTTCTCTTCCTTTATTTTATGACACACAGCGTATCACAAGAATAAGAGATGTGAGTTCAAATCTCACCGGAGGCTTATTTTGTGTTTTTAATTCAATCTGATTATTTAAAGACCGTAGAATAATAACCCATGTTCTGATAAACCCAATTCACTGTGTTTCAACGGATCCGTAGGAATGATTGTTAAGTTGAAAAGAAGGAAAAATACAGAATGATTTTGAAAGACACTCAAGTACCTCATCTACTTGAGGAAGGTTAAAGAACGTACCAAACAAAACGTTATGTTAAACATGACAAACATGAAACGGGACATATAGCTTATTGGGTGAAATCGTTGTTTAAACGGATTTAGTTACTTATCGTGAATTCAAACCTTGAGAGAGCAAACTGTCACACGTACTATGGTTAAGTGGATGAAAAATCAAACATCACAAAGAAGAATTAACATAATACGAAATTTCCTTTGGTATGGACGGTGGGAGGAGAACTATTTACCCTACCATCGTGGATTAAATAAAAGCTTTGGTTGGGTACAATGACCAAAATGCTGTAACAAAGTGAGGAGCCACGTTTATTTTTCTTTTAAGCATTTCACCCCAAGCAAGGCAATAAAGTCACTGAGATGCAGGTGCGTTAATGAGTGTGAAACAATATAGGAAAAGGAAAACATTATCAGAGAGCGAGAACAATAAAAGAACAGAAATTAAGAAGACAAGAGATAAGGATTGGCGTATTTATATTTTTGAAGATCAAACTTGACTGAAAAGCAAGAAACCGGAAGAGAATTCCAAAAGCGAATAGGACGCAAAAAAAAAAAAAAAAAAGAAAGAAAGAAAGAAAGAAAGAAAGAAAGAAAGAAAAAGAAACTGTTAGCATAGAACTTACGGTTACATTAAGCCAATTTAAAACTGCGCTTAAATTCCTAGAGTATAGGCAAATCAGTGTATGACAATTGAAAAAAAAAAAAGAATTCACAAAAATTCAGACAAAAATGAAAATAACGGTCTGTAAAACAATAATGAAAATATTTCATTTCAGAAGTTAAAACAAACTAAGAATTTATTAATTGAAACATTCTATTAAAAGTTAACTACAAAAATACACAGAAAAATATTCTAAAAACAATATACATACATATATATATATATATATATATATATATATATATATATATATATATATATATGCATACACACACACATATATATATATATATATATATATATATATATATATATATATATATATAGAGAGAGAGAGAGAGAGAGAGAGCGAGAGAGAGAGAGACTTCTTTATTCATCATTTGTACAAAAGATCGCTGCTTCATTTTAAAAGTCTCTTGCTTCTCAGTCTCTTTACATAAAGGGATGACATTAACAACGAAACGTACAGGGAAGCATAAATCATAAACCGGCTATGACATACGCATTTAAAGTGCATACGACTAATGCACCGTAATGCATACCGTAAGAAAGCATTAATTTTATTATAAAGAAAAAAGCATTGACGGCATATTTTCACTCTCTTAAAGCTAGTTATCTCTCCTGATTAATATACAGAGGATGGGGGATTAGCCTGATATGTACCGAACTGTGATCTGAAATTTTCATTGTATAATGTTCCATCTATGTGATTAATATCTCATCAATGCGAACTTATTGATGTATCTATGTATAGGTATATATATATATATATATATATATATATATATATATATATATATATATATATATATATATATATTATTATTTAAAGACATTTTATGTTTAGCGTTCTTTTTTATAGATACAAGTATTTAAGTAAATGCTCTGTTTATAATAAACAGTATTAAATAACATTTACCGGCCTGAATGTCGAGAAATTTTCATAGAAAATATTCGGCCTTTGAAGATGGAAGATTGAAGTTTATAAGCAGTAAATTCGACCTTGTCTACTGAACGCTCCTTTGTGGCCGAGAGGTTAGGCACGTCAGCGTAAATGACGGTTCTGTATAGGATGCAGGTTCGAATCCTGTCAAAGGATGTATATTTTCTATGAAAATTTCTCGGACATTCAGGCCGGTAAATGTTATTTAATACTGTTTATTATAAACAGAGCATTTACTTATATACTTGTATCTATAAAAAAGAACGTTAAACATAAAAATGTCTTTAATAAAGAAATTGTCGGACTTGGTCCATTTCTTAATATATATATATATATATAGGTATGTAAATTTGTGCGTTTGTGCAGGTGTACCTACGCGTGTATTTGCATTTTGTGCATATATAATTTTTGTGAGAGTAAATAAATTGGATTATCTTCCTATGTAAATATTAAACTAAATAGATGTGTATTAGAAAATATGTATTAAATCTCTCTATATATATCTGTATAAACACGTATATATATATATATATATATATATATATATATATATATCAGTATCAGTTATGTGCCACGCGTGATAAACGCTTAGGCGATCATATATCTTTCGAAACATGACTGACGAGGCAGATTTTTCCCGCAGTTGGTGATCATTTCCTTCTGCGGTAGACCAGTTGCCATCCAAGGCTATAGAACCCGATCTGTCTTGCTATTTACCTATAGCTGGGTGAGGAGAAGAGGATTCATGCCTTTCTCAAGGGTATTAGCACGTAAATGAATGTTATGGATTCGACTGGATACTAAGCAAAATGTAGTACAACTGGCATTACATTTGATGACTGTAAAAACTACGCGTGAGAGTAAGTAAATTCTTTCATAGTCATATTTTCCGAAACTTTGGACAACATCTCGAATATATATATATATATATATATATATACTCATGTGCATACTTAGAAATGCACTTCAACTGAATCGGATGCTTTGCATCGTGCACCGAGATGCACATAAATTCATGTACAATTGTTTTGTTTTGAATAAACACTAAGCAGATTGGAAGGACGGAAGATAATCTTTGAGAAGAGCAGAAGGCGGAGACATCGAAATGGGAGGGCGGGTAGAAGAATAAAATCTAGAAGCGAACGTGAAGAGATGGTGCTGGGTTATATGAAGAGAAAAAAGCAAGTGGGGACTGAAGAAAGAGAGAGGGAAAAGAAAAAAGAGAAAGAAAAAAGAGAAAAAGTAGAAAAAGACAGAAAAATGTAAAATGAAACAGAAGTGAAGCTAATCAGAATAAGAAGGTAGACAGAGAATAAAATAATGTAAAGAGTGAGAGAGAGAAGTAGAGTATAAAAGAAAAGGCAGAGAGGGAAAGAGAGAGAGAAAGAGAGAGAGAGAGAGAGAGAGAGAGAGAGAGAGAGAGACAGACAGACATAAGAAAATGCTGATAATATAACCAAAATAGAGTCAAAGTAGAGGAGTTAGAGTGAAGAAAACAATAAATATATATATATAGAGAGAAAAAATGGAGTCAGAGAAAGCAACTAGAGAAAGATGAAAGACTAGGAAAAATTAGAAAATAACTTGAGAGAGAGAAGAGAGAGAAGAGAGTGAGAGAGAGAGGTTTGAAATAAGAAAGACCGTTTGAAATAAAGGATATTCCATGAACCTCTCTCTGCCTTCCAAAATCAAACACAAACACACCTGGGTAACAAAGGATAAGTTTGTTTGTGTTTTAATTAAAAAACAAAAAGAAAACAAAAATATATATATATATATATATATATATATATATATATATATATATATATATATATATATATATATATATATAGCTTACTTGGTGAGGTAAATGAAAAGTTCAAATTTGAGATTTTTACTCAGGGAATTCAGTGTGACTCAATTTTGTTTAAAAACACGCAAAGTTTAGCTGACCTTTTTACATAAAAGTTATGATTTACCCGAAATTATTTTGGGTTTATTCAGCATTAATTCCCTCTTCGCAATTAGGGATGATAGTAAAATACTTATCAATTCGTTTTCCATTAAAAAAAAAAAATGAAAAACTCTGACAACTATTTATACTATTTAAATTGTTTAGACTGTTGTCCTCATCTTCGTTGCCATATTTATATTCGCAAATATGGCAAGATATGGACAACAGTCCGGACAATTTAAATAGTGTAAATAATTACAATACCTTATCTCAGAAATATAGGCACACTCTGGCAACTATTTTAAATGTGTATATTTTCCAAATTATCAGCCGTGAATTTTATAAGAAACTTGATCGATGACATATGCGAGTCTTTACAAACGGAACTACATTTGACATGTTATTAAGTCAGGCACAACGTCAGAATCAAATCCACTATACAACTAAACATTTGCAACACTGGCTTGCATAATTCTACAGCATACTACCAAGTAGGTACTTACTAAGCTTAGGATAGTTTGGCACAATACCACAAAAGAAAGTCACCTACCCGAGAATGAACTCACTACACCTGTAATGGTCTGTGTGATCAGCTTATAAACACTCACTCTGATAGGCGGACTAATTGAAGTACCTGTCTATTTAATATATTTAAAGATTTAATATATTTACAAATTATTACGGTTAAGAAAGAATGAAAAGTTAAAATATGAAGAGAGATATGATTAGAGATAAATAGAGAAACATTATCTAATGGACAGCATGAGTGGAAAGTAAGATGAAGGATAGAAGAAATATCATTGTAAAAGAAAGAGAGGAAGTGAGATAGAGATTTTGAGAGAATGAAATGAGAAGGGAGATAAAGAAAAAGAGAGCGGAAACAGGATAAAGAGGGAGGAGATTTTACTGATTGAACGAGAGAAAATAAGGGAAAGGGAAGGAGGTGAAAGGGAAATAAAGAACAAAGGATTAGTGAAAGTGTGTGTGTGTGTGTGTGTGTGTGTGTGTGTGTGAGAGAGAGAGAGAGAGAGAGAGAGAGAGAGGAGAACTGAAATAGAGTGAAGCGGTTTTATTGACTGAACTAGTGAAAAAAAGAGAAATTAAATGAGAGAGAGAGAGAGAGAGAGAAAGAGAAAGAGAGAGAGAGAGAGAGAGAGAGAGAGAGAGGAGAACTGAAATAAAGAGTGAAGCGGTTTTATTGACTGAACTAGTGAAAAAGAGAAATTAAATGAGAGAGAGAGAGAGAGAGAGAGAAAGAAAGAAAGAGAGAGAGAGAGAGAGAGAGAGAGAGAGAGAGAGAGAGAGAAGAAGAGAACCGAAATAAAGAGTGAAGCGGTTTTATTGACTGAACTCGTGAAAAAAAGAGAAATTAAATGAGAGAGAGAGAGAGAGAGAGAGAGAGAGAGAGAGAGAGAGAGAGAGAGAGAGAGAGAGAGAGAATTGATCCTCATTTTATTTCCTAATGTACCTGCATAGCCAAGAATAATGATCTATAGTTACCAATTTCTTACTTTGACTTCTGATGATGGGTGGGAAAACGTTGGCGTTTCCTTACTTATCCATTCTGTGAGTGCATTTGGAATCTGCCATTCTGCAGACTCTTTGCTCACCACCCCACCTTCCTACTCACTCCTCTAATCCTCAGATGGTTTCCACTCCACTCCTTTCTTTCCCTGCTCCTCACCAACCTCGTAGTCCTTGTTCTGATGTCTTACAGAACTAATAGCTAGCTTGGGAATTCTTTGAATGGCAGGGAAACAAAAATCTCTGGCAGAGTGAAAGAGAGAATGGTTGGATGGCAATCAAGGTGGAAGGAAGGATGATCCCCCGGGGTGGGTTGGAGATGAGGAATAAGGAATAGGTAGGGAAAGAAAGTTAGTAAATGGTAGTGGAGAAGAAAGGGTTAGAGTGTGGAACGAAGAGTTCTAGAGTGTTGCTATTGACTAAGTTTTATTTAGTTCTGACACAAGGTCATATATAGGGGCACTTAGTAAGAATCAAATTCATTATGATTTTTGTGTGAGCACAATTTGCTCGATGTTATAATCGAGAAGTCGCCCTAATTGTTATTTACTCAGCGTAGTGAGAGTTTTGGGTACAATAAAGTTTCCGGAGCAAGGTATAGAATAAGAAGAGAGAGAAAGAAGAGTCAGTGAAAAGAATAGAGAAAGAATAGGAGGTGAAAGGAAAGAAGAATGAAAGCGAGAAAGAATGGAAATAGGGAAAAGAAAGAGGGGAGGATGGTGATGACAACTGAGAAAAAAGAAAAAGATAGGAGGCGAAGAGAAACAGAAGGAGGGAAGAGAGTGAAAGAAAGAAACAGGAAGCGAGAAAGATATAGAAGAGAAGATAAAAGGATGGAAGAGAAGGAAGTGAAAAGACGGGAAGTGGGAAAAAGATAGAAACAGAAGGCGAGTAGAGATGAAAAGAGACCGGAAGAAAGTAAACAGATAAAGAGAAGTAACAGAAGGCAGTAAGAGAAGAGTGAAAAGACGGGAAGCTAAATAAAAAAGAAAGAAAGAAAGTAGAAACAGAAGGATGAAAGAAAGAGAAGGAAACAGACTGGAAGCAAGAAAAATATAGATGGAAGGAAGAAACAGAAAAAGGGAAGATAGAAAAGGAAAGGGACTGAAAACGAGAAAAAAGATAAAGAGAAGAAACAGAAGTGGGGAAGGGAGAGAAGTAAAAAGACGAGAAAATAGAAAGAAAGTAGAAACAAAGATGGAAGAGAGAGAAGTAAAGAGACGGAAGAGAGAGAGAGAGAGAGAGAGAGAGAGTGAGAGAGAGAGAGAAGAAACAGGAGGAGGGGAAAAGATAAAAAAGAAGGGTGAAAAACAGAAAGGTATAAACGAAACCGAAATTTGTGCAAGAAATTTTACATTGAAAAAGTGAAGTGGATGAAAGAAAAAACAAATGAATAACACAAACTAAAAGGAAGAAAGGTCAAATAATAGAAAGAAAAATAAAAAAAAATTGGCCAAGAAATAAGAAAAGAGTTAGAAAATAAAAATGACAGATAACCAGGACATAAAACGTAGTGTAAAGAAATAGAAATGAAAGAAAAATATGTAAAAGTTAAAAGTTGTTAAACCTTTTGAGATGCTTATAGAAAGGAATCCATGACCATTGACTTCTTAGCTCAGTCTCCTGGCCACTGCACCGATATTCAGACTGTTAAGAAATGTAACTAAAATGCTAACAGAAATATAAAATTCAGATGAAGATAAGCTAAGTGATTGATATACATATAATGTGGATGGTGTCGATTATATTTGGAAGTCATATATCGGTTTGTATAATTGATATTGATAGGCAGATGGAATTGACAATTTGCTTGATTTAGTTGAAATAATACCTCGACATTTTCATATAGAACTGCAGAAAGGAAAAATCGGAAAGCGACAAGTAGATCCAGGTGGAAGACCTCAGTGAACACACACATACCTAATCACAAATAGACAAGTATAGATATGAAAAGAAATCGTATAAACGATGAATAATGACGGTAAGATTCTAAAACCGCTTTTACATAACGAATCCAATCGTTAAAAGATATTTTAATTATCTCCATTGGTTATCAACACAACAAACAACGGCTAACAGGATTTCGTATTATAGCTACAACTGCTTAAGTTCTTCTTGTATTAGTACTTTTGGAAAAGGCATAAATCCATATCTCCTTGTACTTTGTTCCATCACTTGGTATCTTGGCAAAGTTATTGTCACTAATAGTTAATGCCAAAGTAGGTAATGGAAATGAAAGCTCATACAGATCAGATATGTTTTCTTGCTGTTAACCAAAGTATTATGTCTTTTGCTCCTTTAAGGTGAAAATAGACCAAGTAACTTACTTGTTTTATGTGACGCTATGAAAGATAAAAGATCAATATGTTACTCTAACAACCTCCTGGTTATGGAATCAACCAAACAACTAACAATATACAGCTAATAAAGTTCATTATAAAATTCAAATAACCGCTCGACTTTCAGAATGAAGAATCAGGTGCATTACTAGATTAACATAACTTAAGCATACTTCTACTTACGTTTTTTGAGGGAAGTTTTTCAAATTTTAGCATAATTCTTTTAACAAAGGGTTCCCAACGGGGTTACACCAAGTCTAAAAGCGGACCTAATTAGGTGAGAAAGCGGACCTAAGGAGATGAATTGTCTAGCCTTTTTTTTCACTGACTCCTTTTTTACATTTTGCTTTATCTCACTGTCTCAAAGTTATTTTTGTTTCATTTGATTCGATTTAATAGTTTGCTTATATTTATACTTTTAATAATAAGCAAAAAAGTTATTTCCGTTTATGTTCTGAAGAGGATATAAATAATTGTCGTTTGTTAATCGAATGTTGATTACGTACAATCATGTTTGTAGAATTATCTTCATTTAGAGACGTGAAATTACAAGAGAAAGATCCTCTGTGTGTGTGTGTGTGTGTGCGCGCGCGCGCGTGTGTGTGTGTGTGTGAGAGAGAGAGAGAGAGAGAGAGAGAGAGAGATGTGAAACGTGAGCACTATTTAGTCAGCTTACAAAACGTACACGGCAACAAACTGCATAAAGATGGATATACCTTGAGAAATTTCTGTGACAGATGAAAAGAAATGAGATAGCGGTTCACATCTGTGTCCGTTTCAGTTTGACGGGTTAGATGGTTATTTCAGTCTGTCCATAAAGTGTTAATTTGTTTTCCTAGACATTTTTCTCTCTCTCTTCCCTTTCTGTTAACTTCTTGGCTGTCTATCATATTGTGTTTTCGAAAACACTGGATAGCCTGTAATTCACTCATCTTAAGGTCAAATTTTATAACAGAAATCGACATTTTAAAAATTGAGTTATTTCAAATTCTACACATGAAGCAAAATTCCTTAAACCTTTAATAGAATCTGAATTGGTTTAAACTGTAATTTCAAATATTGATCTCTCTGAAGACATGCATTTATTGCATGTAGCTTTCCCGATTTTCAAAAAAAAAAAAAAAATTAGAAATAGCTTCCGTTTATTATTAGAGAGAACAAGAGTATGATGAGCTAAAGTGTCATGAACCTATATTTCTAAATGTCACAGTGTTATCGACAACTTTAAAAGTACATTAGAGTATAATTGTTGGGGCCTCAACGATTATGTCTCACTAGTTGTGGTTAATAAATTTGAAATTTACAAATCAAAACTTAGTCTTGAATTTAAATACTACCAGTTCTAGAGATCAGCTATTGGATAGATACCTTATAATATAATATAATATAATATAATATATATATATATATATATATATATATATATATATATATATATATATATATATATATATATTTTATAGGGCTTTCATTACATATACGAGGGAAAGCTGGCTCATTACTTTAACCGAGTTGACAGGGAAGAGCTTTTTGATTTTTACTTTTCAAAGCAACGGACAAAAATTTTCCTTCATTTCATTCCAAACATGGCTATGGCTAATTTTATATTAGAAATGACCACAAGAATTTCACTTAAATTCTGTTTATAACCTCTGAAAACTGATTATGAAACAGAATTTATATTTTTGTTAAATTAAGTCAATGACTTTTCCTTTTATTTTTTTTACATTCAGCATCTTTAATAGCCAAACAATAGTATTTTGCGCATATGCAAGATTAAATAAAGAAATTGTTTCAATAAGATTTTGAAATAGATAGGGAATAATAAAAAAAGGAATTTCAGAGATTAATGAAATGTCCAGTAATTCAGGGAATAAATGTCAAGTAATTCAGGGAATAAATGTCCAGTAATTCAGGGAATAAATTTCATGTAATTCAGGGAATAAATGTCCAGTAATTCAGGGAATAAATGTCCAGTAATTCAGGGAATAAATGTCAAGTAATTCAGGGAATAAATGTCAAGTAATTCAGGGAATAAATGTCCAGTAATTCAGGAATAAATGTCAAGTAATTCAGGAATAAATGTCAAGTAATTCAGGGAATAAATGTCAAGTAAGTCAGAATAAATGTCCAGTAATTCAGGGAATAAATGTCAAGTAATTCAGGGAATAAATGTCAAGTAATTCAGGGAATAAATGTCCAGTAATTCAGGGAATAAATGTCCAGTAATTCAGGGAATAAATGTCCAGTAATTCAGGAATAAATTCAGGGAATAAATGTCAAGTAATTCAGGGAATAAATGTCAAGTAATTCAGGGAATAAATGTCCAGTAATTCAGGGAATAAATGTCCAGTAATTCAGGAATAAATGTCAAGTAATTCAGGAATAAATGTCAAGTAATTCAGGGAATAAATGTCAAGTAATTCAGGGAATAAATGTCCAGTAATTCAGGAATAAATGTCAATTCAGGGAATAATTCAGGGAATAAATGTCAAGTAATTCAGGGAATAAATGTCCAGTAATTCAGGGAATAAATGTCAAGTAATTCAGGAATAAATGTCCAGTAATTCAGGGAATAAATGTCAAATTCAGGGGAATAAATGTCAAGTAATTCAGGGAATAAATGTCAAGTAATTCAGGGAATAAATGTCAAGTAATTCAGGAATAAATGTCCAGTAATTCAGGGAATAAATGTCCAGTAATTCAGGGAATAAATATCCAGTAATTCAGGGAATAAATGTCAAGTAATTCAGGGAATAAATGTCCAGTAATTCAGGGAATAAATGTCAAGTAATTCAGGGAATAAATGTCCAGTAATTCAGGGAATAAATGTCCAGTAATTCAGGGAATAAATGTCAAGTAATTCAGGGAATAAATGTCCAGTAATTCAGGAATAAATGTCCAGTAATTCAGGGAATAAATGTCCAGTAATTCAGGGAATAAATGTCCAGTAATTCAGGGAATCAAAATTCAGGGAATAAATGTCAAGTAATTCAGGAATAAATGTCAAGTAATTCAGGAATAAATGTCAAGTAATTCAGGGAATAAATGTCAAGTAATTCAGGGAATAAATGTCCAGTAATTCAGGGAATAAATGTCAAGTAATTCAGGGAATAAATGTCAAGTAATTCAGGGAATAAATGTCAAGTAATTCAGGGAATAAATGTCAAGTAATTCAGGGAATAAATGTCAAGTAATTCAGGGAATAAATGTCCAGTAATTCAGGGAATAAATGTCAAGTAATTCAGGGAATAAATGTCAAGTAATTCAGGGAATAAATGTTCAGTAATTCAGGGAATAAATGTCCAGTAATTCAGGGAATAAATGTCAAGTAATTCAGGGAATAAATGTCAAGTAATTCAGGGAATAAATGTCCAGTAATTCAGGGAATAAATGTCAAGTAATTCAGGGAATAAATGTCCAGCAATTCAGGGAATAAATGTCAAGTAATTCAGGGAATAAATGTCCAGTAATTCAGGGAATAAATGTCAAGTAATTCAGGGAATAAATGTCCAGCAATTCAGGGAATAAATGTCAAGTAATTCAGGGAATAAAAGTCCAGCAATTCAGGGAATAAATGTCAAGTAATTCAGGGAATAAATGTCAAGTAATTCAGGGAATAAATGTCAAGTAATTCAGGGAATAAATTTCAAGTAATTCAGGGAATAAATGTCCAGTAATTCAGGGAATAAATGTCCAGTAATTCAGGGAATAAATGTCAAGTAATTCAGGGAATAAATGTCAAGTAATTCAGGGAATAAATGTCCAGTAATTCAGGGAATAAATGTCCAGTAATTCAGGGAATAAATGTCAAGTAATTCAGGGAATAAATGTCCAGTAATTCAGGGAATAAATGTCAAGTAATTCAGGGAATAAATGTCAAGTAATTCAGGGAATAAATGTCAAGTATTTCGAGGAATAAATTCAGGGAATAAATGTCCAGTAATTCAGGGAATAATTGTCAAGTAATTCAGGAATAAATGTCAAGTAATTCAGGGAATAAATGTCCAGTAATTCAGGAATAAATGGTAATCAGGAATAAATGTCAAGTAATTCAGGGAATAAATGTCCAGTAATTCAGGGAATAAATGTCAAGTAATTCAGGAATAAATGTCAAGTAATTCAGGAATAAATGTAAAGTAATTCAGGGAATAAATGTCAAGTAATTCAGGGAATAAATGTCCAGTAATTCAGGAATAAATGTCAAGTAATTCAGGGGAATAAATGTCAAGTAATTCAGGGAATAAATGTCAAGTAATTCAGGGAATAAATGTCAAGTAATTCAGGGAATAAATGTCCAGTAATTCAGGAATAAATGTCAAGTAATTCAGGGAATAAATGTCCAGTAATTCAGGGAATAAATGTCCAGTAATTCAGGGAATAAATGTCTAATATTGCAAACAGTGTTGCATTCGATGATCCCAGGCATACCGAGTAGAACAGCCTTTGTTACAATATTTTTCATTTCAAAAGATCTTTACTATTTAACCTTTTATATAACCACTGGGCTACACTTGGATATTTCTGCTACGATATATAAACAAACGATAATATAAGTAATTTTTTAGCCATTGAGAAA